CCCATAAATATTACTTTTATTAGTGACATGGTAACTTGAGATATCAATCTTAATTGCCAACTTTTTGTCCACCACAACTTTCAACTCCATTGTATACAAATCCAAATTGATGCCAAGCTAAAATATAAATAAATTTTGTTAGAAAATTTGTATATAAAAATATATAATGTATAACATAAAGAAGTAATTTAGAACTATAAAATAATACCTTCTTGTTTTTATCATACAACTCTTTAGCTGTGTATTTGAACAACTTCTTTGCTTCTTGATCAATTAAGGTTAAAGTCAAGGTTCATGTGTTGTCTTGAACCCGAAGTGGGATTTTAAATCTAAATAAAGTATAAGATTATATTATATTACACAATTATGATAAACATATATTGTTTTTATATAAAATATATATGTAATACCTTCGAATAACCGAAATTTGGATATTTTTTGCATTTAGGATTAGCACATTCATAAGTAACGATTTTGGCCACTTCATGAGAACCATCAACCTTATCAGTAGAATACTCTTTTTGTTTTGCTGACTTTTTGCAGTTGCTACAAGCAAGGTAATACCAACGTATGTTTTGACGTATTCCCTTAACAGTACCAACAATAACGACCGTTTTTTCCTGGAAATTTAAATAATGTTTAATGTTAACAAATGTTAGTTTGTGAAAGTGTATGTTAGTTTCGTTATAACAATATACTATGTTTGTTTCTTACACTTTTAAAATCTAAAAATAAAAGTGCATTAAAGTAACAACTTTAAAAATAATGTAAAGTACCTCCAAAGGTTCAAACAAATCATCAATGTTAGAAAACAAATTATTTTTTCAGAAAGTCATCGTGTTCTGTGTCTTGTTTTGAGGTCATCATTTTGATTCCACTTGATGAAAGTTGTCGTCCATTTTCAGAAACCAATATGTTCATTTATAACAAAGAAAGGAATTAAATTTATTATAGTATGAAAAAAATAAATCTGAAAATACAAAGGAAATTATAAATGAAAATACTTGTTTTTGTAGCTTGTAATTTCATTCATATCATTGTTTATGAACAACCTACTAACATCAAAGTAGGTGGATGAAAAGGACGACCTGCAAAAATAAAATTTATTATTTAATTATATATAAAATTTTAGAAAATGGTTGTTAAAAATAATTACAAACCATTAATAAACTTCACTTTGACAAATTGAACAATAACAACAACTGGAGCAAGGCTGTTATTATTAGCAAGAAAATTATGCATGTAGTATGCATTCTGACCCCACAAAGTTACCTTAAGCTTAGTATCCCTGAAACAATAAACAAATATTGTAGATAATATAAAAGAAACTATATTATTTGTTTGTAATAATGGTGAATACTCTATATCTTGAAGATGCAAGAGCATCTTGTGTTTTGATTTATCTTGTTCCGAGGTATCCATACGCCCATATTCAAAAATGTGTCCAATAATATCTACAAAAGCAACAAAATATAAGTTAATAAAAATTATCATTTTGTAATCCAAAGAAAGAAAGTAGGATGTTATATAACAAAAGTTAATATTAAATAAACCAACCAAAAGAGTTTGACTCCAGGATGTTGTTAGAAACAATCGTATTGAAGTCAACAAAATCAAAGACATGTGCAGATCCAGAAAAGTTTTCACAATCTTTTACTGTTGTATCGTGATAAAAATTAAGTTTTCTTTCCGGATCAGCAAACTTAAATTTTGAAGTATTTGGTGTGACGTTAGGTTTCTTGACGTATATTGAACTATCCTCTTTTAAATAGCGCTGGAATTTAGGAAACCATTTCTTCAGACAAAATGCATGAATTTTCCGTCCCTAAAAAAAATTAAATAACAAATATTTAAATATAATTGCTTATGAATATGAATAATTTTTTATAAAAATAATAATTCAATATATGCATCTTATACCTCCTCATCCATCAGAATCATTTCTACCGAGTATGTGTCGTTTGCATCAAATTTTGATTTTTGAGTCCAAAGACGTATGATCCGAACTTTAATTGTGAAATCGTCCTTGATTGAGTCATTTTCCTTTACACGAGTAATATGTTCCATTGTACCTTGCAAGTTAAAAAAAACTTGTATATTTAACAAAAAAATTTCAAATATAAACAGAAAAATCATAAAGCATTGATTGATTAAAGACCATATTAACAGTGGGAGGGGAATTTTAAGTCATTTATAGCATATAAAAAAACATATACTTGTTTGAAGTCCACAAATCCTGATATAGCTAAATGTTGAACTTTAAAATAATGTTTACATTAAATTTGACAATTATAATAAGCACCCAAAAAAAAATTCAAACAGCCAAAAAGAAAGTAGATTGCTATTTAATTGATTTTGATTGATACAAAGACCCATTGTTATCATGTGTTTAAGTTAATTAGGGGTAAACAAGGGGAAACAGTAAACTGAACTTTAAAATTTATTGTTTACATTAAATTTGACACTTATAATCATGAACAAAAAGAAAATTAAAAAAAAAATCAAACAGCCAAAAAGAAAGTACATTGCTATTTAACTGATTTTGATCGATACAAAGACCCATTGTTATCATGTGTTTAAGTTAATTAGGGGTAAATAAGGGAAACAGTAAACTGAACTTTAAAATTTATTGTTTACATTAAATTTGACATTTATAATCAGCAACCAAAATAAAAAATTTCAAACAGCCAAAAAGAAAGTACATTGCTATTTAACTGATTTTGATCGATACAAAGACACATTGTTATCATGTGTTTAAGTTAATTAGGGGTAAATAAGTTAGTTAATTACAGAGATAATGTAAATACAGAAATACATTTAGGCAAATAAGTTAGTTATGGGTAATATTGGAAATAATCAAAATAAAGACTATATTAATAGTTGGAAGGGCATTTTAGGCATTTATAGCATATAAAAAGAAAACATATACTTGTTTTAAATCCACAAATCGTGATATAGGTACATGGTGAACTTTAAAATAATGTTTTTTTTACAACAAATGTGACACTTATAATCAGCAACCAAAAAAATTAAAAAAAAAATTCAAACAGGCAAATAAGTTAATTAGGGGTAATATTGGAAATCATCAAATTAAAGACTGTATTAATAGTGGGAGGGGCATTTTAGGCATTTATAGCATATAAAAAGAAAACATACTTGTTTTAATTCCACAAATCGTGATATAGAGCGGTACAAAACTTTAAAATAATGTTTATTGTTTACAATAAATTTGACACTTATAATCAGCAACCAAAAAATAAATAAATAAATAAATAAAATTCAAAAAAAAAATAAAAAAGGCAAAAAGAAACAACAATGAAGGGGAAACAGTAAAATACATAATGATAACAGGTAAAGTATATTGTTGCTATTCATCGGAATGGTTAATGATTAACATGGTTAACGGGTTAATGTTAAACATCATTAACAGGTTAATAAAAAACAATTCAATAATCACGAAGTGGGTTGAATACATGAATAAAGGGAAACAGTAAACTGACCTGGTTGATTATGCAGTCCAAAACCAAAAAGTCGATGAGTATATACCCTGGATATAGGAAAAAAACATTACAATATATATATATATATATATATATATATATATATATATATATATATATATCGATGAGTATACCCTCAATATATGAAAAACAGAGAGCAAACAATGTAGTCTCCTTACCCGACGATGAATATTTGATCTATGCGTAGTGAAACAGGCATGTAAACGTGTATATATATTCGATTGTTGATTTATTGGGACTGATATTCGATTGTTTGATTTATTGGGACTGATAGAGTTTAACATTTATTTTCTGCCATATTTGTTGCAGAATTATATGGTATGATTGAAAATTCAAATTTCAAATATCCTGATTTCCTGATTTATATTTATTTTTTATAATTTACAGATATTATCAAATAAAAGGGCAAATTGGGAAATTCAGTTACAACAATTGAGCAGGAAAAGTCAAGGGTGATGGACTAAGGTAATGTCATGTGGCCGGTTATGGTACTGTTTTATTAGAAGAAAAGATAAGTAAATCAAAAAAAGAAATTAATAAGGGTATTATGGTCATTTTAGGTCTATTAGGGACGAAAAACGTAATAAAATCAAAGGAAATTAAATATCCTCTTACATTTTATTCATATTCATCCTCCTACCATATCAAATGTTGACATGTGTCACATTTAATGACACATTTAATGAAAATAATAATAATTTAATACGCTTATGGGCAGGAGTATAATAGGAAAAAGATGTAGGAGGATATTTAATTTCTCTAAAATCAAACGTTAGGGATTGTCCGAGTGAAAAAATAATAATAATAATAATAATAATAATAAAACACTTAGGAACCAAACACACAATTTCAGCAAACCACATGGACAATTTCAGTAATTTGTTCTAAGAATAAAAACAATCAACTTATAAGTTATAACTTCCATAGTTCCATACCTTCTCGTTCACAAAAACTGTGGTTCTAATCGTTTAGATTTATAGATATAACAAATAAACATTTAGTATTAGCACCCATTTCAAAACATAACCATGCGATTTTTTGTACATTGTAAACTGCTATCAGTTTAGATTGAAACAGAAAAATATCATAATCGACCTTTAAAATGTATACCTTTGAAAAAAAAAAGTTAATAAATAAATATAAAATAGTAAGGTTCATTTCTCATAGCCAAAACCCATTTCGTGCCCCGTACGAAATAGATGGTTATGAAGGGATTTTTCTTAAGTTTTGGTTAACTTTAAGTAATAAAAAATAAATAAATAAACTTTTAAACTTTCAAATATGGTTATTATAGTTAATAGCTCGTATTTTTTTTACATTAAATATAATCATTTCTTTTTAAAAGTTGGAACCAGGACCTCAGTTGTTACTAGCGTTGTTGAGATACTATATTAATGATCATACACATCATGACATCAACATTACAAATCACCAAAAGCTTCACTAAAATATAATTTATACAACAAAAAAAGATACAATGCATGCAAGGTAAGGATACAATATTTTATGCGATTTAATAATAATTTAACACCTTAAAATCATAGTCAGATAGATGTTCACTTTCCTTCTAAAGCCTCTATTATTCTATTCAAGTCGCGGATGTCATTGCGAAAAAGAAACAACCTTGAACTCCATGGACATGTACACAGCTGCTTTGAATGTTCAAGACAAGAGTACTTCTCAGGCGAGCATGTACAACCAGTAGCTGAAAGGTACAAGTCACTAAAGCACACGATGCATTCCTGTTTCACCAAACAACTAAAACCTTCTTCCATCGTACGTGACTGTGATGCATTGCATAACAACTCCCTCTTGAAGCTTTCGTGCTTGACCCGCGACTGTTCCATAGAAACAAACACTTTTTAGCAACCTACTTTTATTTCTTCCTATTGTAGTTTAAAAATTATAAAGTAAATTACACTTTTGGTCCCTGAATAAGGCTAACTTTTGCTATGATTACCTTAAGAGCTCTTGTAAACCAACCATCCTTTCCAAATGCACCTGTCATCCGTGTTTTGATGGCATTGCGGGCCCCCTCGATTAACATTTTATCATACGAGATTGATGTTTTTCTATGCAACTCACTGTAAATTTCAACTGACAGCTGTCCATATGGCAACCAGTCAACGGGTGCAAGGTTGACTTTCTCGGAAACACTGAATCCCGTATCAAATCCCGAATAGAATGCACCTGGAAAGATGATGACAAACTGTTTTGGATGCTGTACACCGCGGTAGACGGGTATACCCTCTGATTTTAAGGTAGAGGGTGAAAGCTGAGTGACCTGTATGTAATTGTAGTACATATTATGGATTTTAACTCATTACATTACATACAGAAAGGGGTATTTACGTGTTTTTGCAGAGACAAGAGATTGGTACTCACTAGCTTATGGAACAATTCGGGTTTTCCTGATAACTCCGGGAAGGTTTTCTTTAGTAATGATTCAAAATTTTGGCGATATTTACCGGGAATGCCATACCAGTTTCTTGAGGCACCTTGGTGCATGTAACTGATAGTATACAAGTTGTGCTCTTCAACTTTCTGAAAAGGAGAATTTAGACATTTGGCAACTTATTGATAAAATAAAGAAAGAGTATTCAAATCTTACCCAACAAAGGGAGGAAAAGCACATTCCGACATCCAGGCGTGGGGTTGAAAGGGCAGAATTGTCATAATCAAAAGCAAGAAGAGATCCAGGCAGCTTTGAGGTATTATTTAAGTTCCAGGGTGATTTAGTGTATTCGCTTTGATTTTGATCCTCATGAGTGTCAAGTGATGATGGTAAAGGGAACCCGCTGCCAATTACTTTTGTGTCCAGATTATGACCGGACAGTACCTATGAGAAGTCAGCTTAAGAAAGGGCACAAGTGTCATTTTAATTATAATCAAATACTTGTTAAGTGTCAATATACCTGAATTTGCTCAGTTGGGTTCTGAATAATTCGCCAATATTCCCCTTCAACATTTTCCCAAGGTCGATTCCTATAATCGGTAAAAATGTCTTTCTTTTTAAAATATTGACCTTTGAAATGTGCTGCATATGCCTTAAATGCCCTCAGTGTGAATTCAGGACCAGATTCAAATTCAAAACCATCAGATCCATTTTTTCCTTCTGCTTGCTCAATCATTTCATGAAGTTTTCTCTTTGAATGCAGATCTTTAAGTTCATCAATCTGTTGAATATGGGTAGAGAATCTAGATGATTCCCATTTATTTCCATTTAAAAGAGATGGTGGTTTCCATGAATCAGGAGGAATAATCCTGCAAATTCCGTATTCCTCAGCTTTCGGGCGTATTTTGGCAATATATTGAAGAACATCTTTAAATTCCTGTCATAGAAAGTCAAAGCTTGATTACAAAGACATAAACTTTGGCTTGATTACAAAGACATAAACTGAGTGTCATACAAAGTCAAAGCTTGATTAATGATTACCACTTCGGTGGGGTGAAATGCTGGAGCATATTCTAATACAGGTCTGCATGACTCTTCTTGACGCCAACTTGAAGTAACCTGTAAAGGTTGTAATCTAGGGTTAAGTATAAAAGTGTGTCAAAAGATGAAAATGGTATTTAAATATCACAGAGCCAATTTGGAAGGAATGAGGTCAAACCTTTTGGCAATTGTTGCACATTGAACACCCACGAATCACTCCTTTTGGAAGGGTATTTTCGAAAGATATATTCTGCAAAAAAAAAAAACATTTGATTATTAACTGATCTTTGTATAAAGAGTAGTTGTAAAAAAAAAAGGGGGCAACGATATAGTCATATAAATAACTGTAGTTTGATGTGTTCTATCTGGCTTTTTGTTGATGAGTTGGTCATGAAGTATCCATGGCCTTTGCTTGAGAGACTTTTGAAGCTTTCCAATGGGCTCTGGTTTAATGTCATTTTGAATTTCCACCAAATTACAAGCTTCATCGTTCCTTTTTGTGAGTGTAAAAGATGTGACAGATACAAAACCTGGTGGAGCTGGCATCACATCCCTTTTCCTTTTCATCATTACTGTGTGATTTTGGAATAAACTCTTTTGCAATATAAACCCTAATAAAGGAAAAGAGAGAGAGGGTATGTTATATAGCCAAATATAGGAAATTAACAAATTCTGTGAAAGTGTTGGAATTTGGGAAGATCCCTGAAGCAGAAGAAATCTCTTTACCACTTCAAACAAACAAAACAAGCGGAACCTTATGACGGTCATAATTTTGATTAACGGGAACTGTAATCGAAAGTCCCAAATCTTAAACCAAATAGATCAATTTACTCGATAGCCAGTCGAAACAGAAAACGGTGAATACTAGATTGCAAGACTGATACAAGTTCTTACCAAATCAACGAAAATGATGCCTGGGAAGTCGGCTATCCAAGATCCCCAGAGCTCGTAAACACTTATATACACGCGTCGCAACTTGTAAATTCTATAGGAAATCAACTCCAGTACTACATAGCACCAAAAATCAGTTCAATCACACTCAAAATTCTGATTCACAAAACACAATCAACACGCTATCGCTTGTACAGTTTCTATAAGAAACCAAGTCCAGTACTATAGTTTATATAACAGGGAAAACGATTCAAATCACACTGGGAAATTCAGAAGTTCAGATTAACAAAACACAAGCCCACGGATTTATAACGAAAACTAACTAATTAGGACAGAAAATGTGCGATCGGGAGTCGGTAAAGTTAAAAGTGGGGGTTTATCAACGCCTGAAAATAGTTTAGAAAGAAGAACGTACTGATGATGCTGCGGAAATGAAAGGGGTGGTGGTGGCAGTGGCGGAGGCGACGGAGGAGGAGTGGCTGTGACTAAAGAAAAAGAGCGCTAGGCTAGTACCAGGGTACCAGTGTTTTGCTTTTTGACGTTTAACAAAAGTATGATGTTTCCAAAAGAAAAAAATTGTAAATTGGTCTCTTTATTTGCCTTTTTTTTTTCCCAAAGTCTATAGAGTTTCAAATTTACAGATTTCAATCTTTTTAAGCTTTTGGTTGTGTCTGTAGTAAGAACTCAAAGTTACAAAAAAACAAATAAAATACTGGAATGGGAATGACCGGCTGACGCAATAGTTGCATGGACGATTTAAAATTTCCACTTTAATTTATTATTAATAGTACTTGAATTTTATGTAATATTTAGATATTTGTAAAATGGTATTGTGGATATAACAAATAAGCAATTGAAAACTAAAATATGTGTGCGGTATGTTAATTCATTAAACCTTAAATATATGATTATACAAGATTGAGGGTTCATCTATAAATAATTCACCATTGTAGATGATTGATATGCATAAGTGAAACCTTCAACTAGAAAGCTGAGAGAATTTCTATTTCAAACGGATTGTAATCTGCCATAAAGAATATTACGCAACTCGTGGATCATGACTCCAAAATCGTCCAAAAATGGACAAGCAAAATGAACCTCAAAAGACAAGGTGTTAGATTTACCCTATCCTATATTTATTTTGTATTCGTAATTGGAATCATTTGTGTATTTGTATAAAACTAGTTTGCAATGTTTTTAAAAACCAAACTTGTGTCATGTTTATAAATCCTAAAATTGTAACATTAGACCTGAGACTCTGGAAAAAAGATCCGAATATGGTTAGATAACAATACAAGATCAAACTAAAAAGTCAAAACTGAATTCTGATAACTCTAATTATAATCATGGTCCAAAATCTGCTGCCATGTTCTATGTAACGGTATCTCTATTCTGTCTTTTTTTTATTCAAGCCGATTTTATTTTGGCTGATGTGGAAGCAAGGTGTGAAAGAGTGCTATGTCCCACAAACATCAAGAAGATCCCTAGCACTCCCAAAGCTTTCAACGTGGTGAAAAGATCCAACTGTCACCAATAAAAAAAAAAACATGTTTATTACGGTTTTTACTATAGAAATACATTTAATCAAACTATAATAAATTGTGTATTTGTACCTTCCACCAGAAAAACACATAGAGCAAGAGGACAGCTGCAATGCCGCCGTGGAAGAGGATTGCAAATGTGGCAGGTACGGCTGATGTAGGGAAGTTCTTCAAGTTCACACCCAGACGTAACAACTAGAATAAAATAATAATAATAATTTAGAACCATAAACGATTAATTAAATAAATAAAAATATAAAATAAAAAGACTTGGGATTTGGGATTTGGGATGTGGGACTTACCCCAATCAAGAATGCGAGGAATGGGACGAAAACCAGACCCAAGAAAGTGAAAGAAAGCTGTTGGGGAGGACGTTTTTCTGGGACCCGGAAGATGTGGTTTATCTCTGCTTTGGGACCATATCTTAAATAAGGATCAGCGGGTTGAGGTGGTGGGTGTGTTGACTTTTCGGGTGCCTTGGGTAGATCTAATTCGATATACCCGAGAGCTTGTAGGAAAGAATTCTCCTGAAAATAAAATAGAAATTTGTTTTTTTTAAATGACTGGATAATTCATTCATTGAAAGTGATTATTGTAAAATGCAATGTTTACCATGACAGCATCACCCACGCTCAGCTCAATGTTGTATTGACCAGAGAGATAGTAAAACTTGTCAACAAGACCAAGGAAATCCTGAAATTCGGAATGTAGGAAAGTGTAAAAAATAAGTCAAATATATGAAAAAGAAAAAAAAAATTACTTTACCAGTGTCATCTCAAACCGTTTCCCGGAGTTGCCAACTACAAAGATATGCTCGACCCCAGTTTCATGTCTCAATTTTAATAATGCCTGAAAGTGAGTTAAATAAATTAACTGGAAAAGTAAATAAACAGATAAAAACATTTTGGGAGGTGGTTGGAAACCTGATGAGGCTTGAATGGTTTCCCAAGTGGGGTTTTCAACAGAAAGGATAAGTGAAGCTTTTGAAGGTGGTTTGCTGATACTGCCGCGTCATTCTTTCCAGGTAGATCAAGCCTAACAATACAAAAATGTCAAGTTAAATGAATGCAACAACAAAAGTCTGAAAAAAAAATGATGTGGCTTACTTTATTTCAGACTCGAGAACATCGCCCTCGAGCAATGCAATTTTAGCGTTATCAACTGTAACAACTCCTGTGACATGGATTGGCACTTTTGTTCGGCCTCCAGTTGCATATATTTTCTTATGTTCTGGATCAGAAAGGACAATCTGGGAAAGAGAAACAAAAGTATTAAATTTAATTGGTGCAAAAAAAAAAAAAAGGTTCAAAGAGAAAATCTTATAAAATTTAGTACCTCAAAAGCAAAAATGTACTCCCCGACATCAACACCTTCTGGCAAGGCATCCATGGTGTGGATTCCTTCTTTTGGATCATAATTTAGTTCCTGAAACAAGGTCAAGAAAGTCAAACCTAGAAACTTAGGATAGCACAAATGACTATCAATAAGGGCATGATAAATGTTGATTTGTGGAACACCTGTTTAAGGACAGAAGCGTCTTTTGAACCGGAGCTGAAAACTTGCATGAGTTTTACTGATAAAGGAGGACCAGCAGATCCCAACACAGTGTTCACTTTGACCTTGAGTTTATCTTTACTGGTCAATGAGAGCACTGTAGCTGGAAGTGACAAAACTAAAGGAACTGATACCCTGCAAAATATATGATTTGAGAATAATTTTAAGAAAAACAAGATATATATACACATACATATACATTTATATACATACCTATTGTTTTCTAAGCAAGAAAGAGCGTCAATTTGGTAATACAAGTCCTTGCTATTGCCAGGGATTCCAATGCCAAGGAGAAATCTTGCCAAACCCAAAATCTTTTCCTCGGGTATCTGCAATAGTTGAAGAACATTAGCAGAAAATAAGATTAACAGAAGTCGTTTGTTGTAAAAGAAAATGAAAGTGTATCCAACGTTTAAACTTCCAGAAGCGGATGCAAAGGTAGTCAGCCCCCGAACAACTGCTGAGGTGGCAGAAAGTGGGCCTTGATGTCCACTTGCATCAATGAGTTTGTCATCAAAGTAATAAGCTCCATCATCTACAAAATAATATTGATATCATATATCATCAATAATTTCTTAAAAGGGAGTAAACAGTTCATGTACTAACCATATTTCTTAATGCTGTCAAAGAGTTTCACAATATCCTTTTTCAGTGTACCAATCTGCAAATAGGTGTGCAATAGTTAATTAAAATCATGACCCTTTCATGTTGTTGAACAGAATGTAAATTAAGTTACCAGATTTTCATCAACTGGAGTAGCTGATAATGAAATAACTCCAGAAAGGGTTTCAAGTGCTAGTCCTGAATCAAGTTGATACATGTAGCGACTAGTGAGTACGTGAAGAAATAAAATGACCCTTGAAGACTGGTCAAACATACTTTGACCAACCTTTAGAAACACCACAAAACATTAATAATTTTTTGATTTAATAACAAAGGTTACCTGCAGCATAAGTACTGGATTCAGGATTGTTAGAACTATAGCGCCACCTTCCATCACTTTGACTGAGAGCCTGGGAATAATGAATAAGTCAACTAGACATTCACATAGGACAAGCTTATGCTTTAAAGGAAGAAAATATTGTTACTTACTACACAATATAAGTAAAAGTAAAACCAACCTTTATGGAGCGTAAAATCCCATCAGCATTCCCAAGAAATACATCAACTTCGGGATTCTGATCCTGCATGAAGATTACAGAGTAATTATGCCATGAAAGAATGTAAATCCATGGCTAATGTTAATACACAATAAGGAACCTGAAAATTTTCCTTACAATTGGTAGCTTTAGTATAACTTTTTTTTCCAAAAGAGACCAGTTACCTTAATAAGTACCAAACCTCCTATTGAATGATAATAATCTAGAAGGGTTGTTGCATCTTTGACGGCATCTTTAAGCCTTGAAACAATGCCCTAAGAGCATTCAAACTTGTAAGAGATATGAACAAAGAGTTTCAAATTATGAGCAAAACATGGTGTGAGATTAATCATACCGTTAAATCTCCTGTACTGATCTTGCATTTTAATAGCCCATTAACTCGGAATGCATGGTGCAAATC